GATTAAAGATCCTATATGACCTTCCCCCACCCATGCGTGTAGGACTCCCAAAAGATCATTAAGTACGGATCTCTATAAAGTTATTAGATGGGTGTGGTATTTGACTTTTATATAGATCTGTACCAAATTTAATAATAATCTTTTGATGTCTTACACACATAGATGAGGGTGTAGGACATCAAAAGATTACCATTACATTTTACTGAAAAAAATGCATTTCGACACCACATTCAAAGAAAAAGTAAGGATGCCATAGCTCAGAGGAAAAGTATATCATATACTTGTCATATTAAAAAGAGGGGCACAACAAGGACTATCATAATCCATTCCTAATGATACATTATGTAGTTCAGATATTGGAGATTGAATATATCTGAAAAAAAAAATCATTTTTTTTAGAAATCTACGCTGCCGCCCCCTTCTAAAATAATGATATCAAATAACCTCCCGCCAATGAAAAACCCCATCGATTATCTTTCAAATTAAAAGAAAATAATATTTAACATATTATATTGAAATTGTGCTGGTCCGGCACAAACTGGCTTCTATATTTAAGTTGTGATGATCCGACGCATTTGCGACAAACTGGCTTAGAGAGAGTTTGTCTTAGAGAGAGAGCGGGAAACCTGGTAAAAAACAAAGGTACTTTGGTCAAAAAAATATATAACTTTTTTTATTAAGGGGTGGGTATTTAAAAAAAAAACAGCATTGGCATTAATGTATGGTATCAAAAATTGGTAAGGGGCAACATCTAGAAAGTCCAATTTGGTGGCAAGGGGGTATTTATAATTCTTTATTGTCTAAATTATGATGTATATCATTTTTATTTTTTCTAATGACCCTTGGTTGAAAATCGAGGAATGCTTTACCCGTGCTTTCTCTTACCTCTTCTTCCCTTTCTCTTGCAACCTCCCTTGAGTCCTAATCTCCCTCTATTATCTCATAAACCTCACAAGTAAGCTAAAAGATGCAACTCAAGGTCCATTCATGTCGTAAGGTTAAAAAATATATATATATCTATATAATTTGGGCAATAAAAAATATAAAAATGAGGTTAAATATTATTTTCGCGTACATGGGCCTTTCATGGAATCAAAGGGTTATTTAGAATTATAATTTTAGATATGGCGTATACGACTTTTTCCATTAGAAATAGATGGTACATGCACCTGAGGTGTAAACACCATTCGTGTATGATATTCTCTTGCTAGTAAAAAGGTCAAATTTGCATTATGACAAAAGGATAATGGGATTTATAACACGAGGCAAATTAGCAATGTGTAGGTCGTGTTGGCATGAAAATGAATGTGTTTTTTTTGTACATGAATAACCAAAATCTCCGGAAAGAATGATAAAGGTAGACGCATGTTCTATCATTTTAATGGTTGTTAGGTTTGGAATCCAATGATCCATGTTTAGCCCTTCAATAAAACTATGGAGTTCATCTTAAAGGTGGGGTTTCTATGAGTGAGCTGATTCATTTATTCATGTGTCTCCCCCTCTAAAATTCACCCTAAAGATGGAGAATGATCTAGGACATGGTGATCATGAGAAACAAAATACTAAAATTCAAAACTGTTTTTTTTTTTTACCCATCTATTTAAGCCACTCTACTCTTGTTTCCCTCCACAAGAGTGGCCTTCGCGCTAGTGTGGCATGACTCATTGTTTCTCTCGACAAGAGGGGCCTTTATGTCCGCTTCGGCCGAAGAGGGTGAAGCTTTCGGATTTTAAGTTTAGACCGAAGTGAAGTGAAGCTTGGTGCTTCATCTTCGGGCCGTTTCGATTAGCTTCAGTATGCTTTGGGCCGATTTAGTCAAAGCAAACAAATATCGGCATTTTCGGCTAAAGCAAGGAAATATCTATATAAAAATATTTTTTAATTTTTTTATTAATTGTATATATTTATATAAAAATATATATTTTATTATATTAAATTTTTTTAAAAAAGTCCAAAGTCTTCCTCCTGAATCAACTAAAACACCAAATTATTTTGTTTTTCTCACCAAATCAAATAAAACTCTGAAGCGAATTTGACAACATTACTTTTCTAAATGTTTCTTAAATACGCAATTCCTTCGAGAGGCAAGAAAAGTATCATCCCATATTTATTGGAAAGATTTCACAAAGCAGACATCGGTAGATTTCGCTTCAATTAGGAGTTAAAAAGTAGCATTGCTCTAGGCTTTGAGTGCAAAACAAATGCCTCTTTATAGGCCTTCAATTAAAGATGGAAATAATCATTGGATTGCTCAAGTCCCCCATATTCACATGTTAGGTGAATCTGAACTATTATGCATTTTTTAATTGAAATTTATGAAAATATGCATAAGATTTAATATTCTACCTATTTAAAACTATTCCAACTCAAAGTCATATGTTTTTTTTTTTTTTAAGGAATTTTGAAATCAAATCAAAAGCTATGCACAAGGTGTTAAATTGCTCATATCTCGTGCATAATTTGATAAATTTCCTTTTGGTGAGAATCATCTTCATATCCCCTCACTAACTACTCTTGAACTCGAAACCCTAAACCTAAACTCTAGTATTTAAAGTCTCAAAAGCATTAAAGACCAAGACAATAACTTCCAACATTTGAGTCTCAGCTAACCAACCTCAACCTTAGAAAGAGAGTTACATAAATGAAATTGAGAATGTCTTAGGCCAAAAATATTGTTTACATGAATTAAGAGGCTTTTAGTTATTGAATGCTAGTTGGTATCATTATTTATTTTTAAAGAACCAAAAGGTATTCCTAGCCGTTCTCCAACATTCTTTTTTTCTATTGGAAAAGGATTGGTGTCGTGGTGGTAACACCCCATACCTTAGTCACCACGTATATATATATATAAAATAATGACCCTATGAGACCCTCCCACACCTATGTGGGTAGGATCCCAAATGATCACCATTAAATTTAACACAAATCTCTAAAAAAGTTATCACATGTGTGTGTGATTTGACTTTTCCAGATATTTGTGCCAAATTTAGTGGTGATCTTTTGGAGTCCTACACATATGGGTGTGGGAGGGTCTAACAAGAACATTTCTCATATATATATATATATATTGCCGAGGTTTTGGAAACTTCAACTACACTAGAAAGTAATTACCAGAATACCCTTCGAGTTTTAGACTCTCCTACTGCTTGCAATTGGAAAAGGGGATGGGGTTGTGGTGATAGCATCCCCCACCCTAGTCACCACGTTGTGCTTTCCATTCTCACCACTAACACCACCCCACCAACGCTTTCAAAAAACTAACTTCTAGTCTACTTGAAAATACGGGTAGGAGTTTGTCTTCCCCACTAAATTACCCAAAAAAAAAAACTTGTTTGCAATTGGTAAATTGATATATGCCCATAATATAGGACTTATGCCGTTCAATAATTCAAGTGGCATAGAATAAAACAAAAAAAAACTCATGTCACCCACTCTAAGTTGAAGAGTGAATTACACTCACGTGGAGGCAAGAAACTCACCCTCTTCAAAACTATAAAGTAGAACAATATTTTTTGGTGGATACAAATATTGACATAAGAAATGGAGGACATGATGCTCCTATGAACTTAATCATATAGCATAATGAAATAAAATGAAAGAAGTGACAACTTAATAGTTTTCATTAGTGTTTAAAAATCGAAGATCCAACTGAGAACCGCCCAAGCCAGCTCGAATCTAGTGGGATACATTTTTTTGTTTTACTTTTTGTAATTCAGTGGGAAAGACAAAGCCTTACCCATTTTTCAAATAGTTTA